TGGTGCTGTTGCCTCGGACTTTCATCCTCTATGGCTTCAGCCACCACCCCACTTCACTGCTTCGGGCTCAAGGACGTGGCTCCACTACGTGTAGTGCACATGCTGGTCGACGGTCGCCATCTTCGTAGCCAGGCCCGCCAACACATCTCCTGAATCATGGAGATAGCGTTGCACCGCTGAGGACGTCCATCTTCCAGTCCTCTTGACAACCTCAATCTCCCCCGTGGCTTGGTATAGCGCCGAGGCACCCCCAATCCGCAACGAGTGCGACTGGAACCTCTCCGCCGGGAGTCCCAAGGCCTTGGCCGCCTTCTGCAGGAGGTTCTGGATCTCCAAGCGTTTGATCACTGGCCCCGAAGCCCAGCGAAACAGCGGCAGGTGGCTTTCTGGGCCTCTCCCAAAGCGCCTCGGGGCGACCTTCGAAGCCGATGAAGAGCTGTGACCACGCAGACGTTCTCGATCTCGGTCACCTTCATGGTCTTGCACGTGCCGAAGGCCTCCTGATCCGCCTTGGTCTTCCGGAACTGCAACGTGACTTCCTCCGGCTTCTCTTCATCTGCATTGCCGCGGGTCGTCAGCGAGATGTCCTGACCTCTGACCACCATCTCCTGGTCGACTCCTCCTGAATCCGCGAACTCGCGTGCTCGCAGCATGAAGAACCATGCCGTGAGGAGTGCCGCCTGGATCATCCTGCAATCGACCTTCAGCTCACCAATGGCTTCTGCCCCCGCAGCTAATTGCTTGCCGAGCCACTTGAGCATCTGCACGGTGACTCCCAATCTTCTGGGCCGCTTCACGGAGTGCTTCTCCAGGGAGTTCAGGACGATCCACAAACGATGCATCTTCGTGGTGGTGTCGCCATGCCCTGCCCGCTTGTGTGCATCCTTGATGGCGAACACCGCTTGCTTCATCGTGGCCACTGATGTGCCCAACCAACCCAGGTACCCGAGGTAGCCAAGGACTTTGTTCTCGTTCTGGATCTGGTCCCCCTTGTGGTCGAGATACGGAGTCAGCCATCCTTGCCTCTTGCTCCAATCGCACCACTTGTGCCAGGCTGCCAGATAGGCCTTCTGTGTGCTTTCGGCCTTGTCCCCAGTGAGGTGTGCCTCAAGCCATTCCTCAATCTGAGCTTGGATCTCGAGGTCCTGGTTGAAGTCGGGGTTCAAATCCACGAAGCGGCCACCGTCCTCCACAACCGGTTTCACTGGGCCCTTACGACGTCCCCCACATTTCCTCTCCTGGATGCCGTCGAAGTCGTTCACCTCGTCCAGAGCGCTCAGCCATAGGTCTTCACCCCAAAACCAAGCATGCCCGGTCGGTGCTTCGACGCCCCCAGCCTTGCGATGAGGGTTCGCTCTGCCGAAATCTCCTCGTCTCCAGCGGCGTAGCCACTGCAGGAGCGTTCCCAGAGTCTTGTAGTCCTCCTGGTCCGCGCACATGCCGGCCTTATTCTCCCGAATCTCCTTCGCCAACTCCGCGGCCACCCCGACCAGATTGAGCGCGGTTCTGCGACCAGTGGCTCTACATCCTTCTCGTTCGGCCTCCTTCTCCCCGATTTGGGCGACCAGCTCCTGCCATTCGTCTAGTCGTCTGCCCTGGAGTACCCAGATCTCCTCACCGGTCAAAGTCCTCACTTGCCCCACCGGTGCCGCCTTGTCCTGCACGAAGATCTTCTGCATGCCCTTCTCGGCGGAGTCCACCAGTGGCCACCTGCCGGGCCCACCCATAGAGTAGACGTTGTGTCGTTCCCCATCGGCTTCCAGCCATACGTGGGCCGCGACGATCGGCAACATAGCTTCTTGCCCGAGGTTGATCGCGGCCTCGATCTTGCACGTTGGGGTGCAACTGCCCGTGTGGATCTTCTTCAAGTAGGAGCCCAGGGAAGGGGCTGTAACCGCCTTCACCATCAAATGC